AACAGTGGTAAATGTCATAGTATAGAAATGACTAAGGGGAGTGGGGTTAGGACGCCTCTTCCCACTGTCACCTGGGTTCGATTGACCCGATTCATGTGGGTTGAGTTAATTTTTAATTATCGTCTAAGCTCTAAAGCTTTCTCTCTGGGTTATCTCGCACAGACCCCCCAACCGTTAAACCAAAAATAACTTAACTTAATTATGGACCACTACAAGTAGCAGAGATTAGCCTTTGCTATTTGCATGATCCTAACTCGCTACTTATTTTGTTGCTAATTTTCTTTTTCTTATTCCTATGCTGTACTGTGTTTAGTTGCTATGTAAAATTAACCTACATATCTTGTAAAACCGAGCCGAGTTAAATAAATCATCTTGTCATCTTGTTACCATGGTTTACCACAGCACCAACAAACGGTAAGAACACAAAAATATTACAACATTTAAATTCGTTTCATGAAGGCCGTAAAATTCCTCGTGTCACTGTTTTCTCTTTTCCTAGTAACTTCTACTCACTTCACAGTTGAGCTCTTGTAATATTATCTTATCTTTTCGTTCTTGTATTTGTTATTTTATCTTTCCGTTCTTGTATTTGTCTTCAATTCATCAGGTAATGGTACTCAGGTTCCACCGACAGTGTACACCACAAATCGACCCTGGTATACCACAGCACCACCACAAGGTAAGAACACAAAAGTACTACAACATTTAATTTAGTTAAAAGTCAACTGTGTCACTATGTTTTTTGTTTTTTTAAAAAACCCTAATTTTTTTGTATAGTTGGTTGTGGACATGTGCAAAATCGTCAGCTCACAAGTCCCGGATATCCAAACTTTTACCCGAATGGGATGAACTGTACTTATCGGATTTACATCCCCACTGGCTGGACGCTCAGAATTTACTTCAGGGACTTTGAAGTCCAGTCACATTCTAATTGCGGGTAAGTGAAGTGTGAGGGAAACATGTTGCAAAAGTAGCGTAATGCATCAGTACTTCCATACGAACAGTACAAGTGATATTATTAAAAACTGGATTATTGGATAATGCAATTCAAGACTTTTTATTGGCTTAGCCATTATGGTATATGAGCCAATATACCATAATCTGATATCTGTACATTGTAACATCCGGTTTCTTCCTACAAAAGTAAAGCCAACGAGGCTTATCCTGTCTTATCCAACGCGCGCTCGTGGAATAATTGTTAACTAGACTTGGATGGGTGGGAAGGAGGGGTAAGGGCTGTTGGTGGTGAGGATTAGAAAGCAAGAAAAAAAGAGATAAAAGAGATAAAGTTCCCGTTTCTCACCCCCTCCTCCCCAAGGCCACTCTAGTAAGTAGACTGGCTGGATCCTTTTCCTCTGAGTCAGAGGTTAAGAAGTCTTAATGTACTTATCAATTATGTCAATAGTTTTGTTACGTTCCACTGCAGTATTACTTTATAGTACTTGCTGAACACATTAC